TAGGTTTTTTTTCCTTTTTTCTCCAGCTAACGATCTGGTCGGTGATTCAGGAAGGGAATTAACCCTTTTTCTTTTTGGTTCGCTTCTACTATTGTCTGTTCTTCCCGAGATTCCGCCCGGGTCGCCCCCGATTATGTTTATAATTTCATTTAGGTTCATCTAGATCCCACGAGTAGCTAGGGAAATTCGGTCAGCTGTCGCATAGCCCCGCTTACGGCAGTAAGGCTACTTACAATGAGGTGTCGCCCGGTACCCCAAGGGAACCGTTTGGGACCACGTGTCGTGTGGTCATTCAGTCCTCAGCACGGTTTCTTACGCCTTGACTTAACGGATTTTTTCTCGCTGGTTTACTCCATCGGTTTTTTGTTTTGCATCAGGTTGTCTCCTGGGGATCGGTAAGAAAACGGGATGGAGGATAGGTAACAGCAAGGATGATGATGAACGAGCTGGGATTTGCTAATCCGTCACGGGGGTTGGTGTACGGCAGTGGCACTCAGCGCCCATCTCTGAGTGCCAATCTCGCCCACCTCCCTCGGTAAGCAGTCCCCACCCTGTCCCATCGCGCTCGCCTCACAAGAATTAGCGGCCGCGACCGGACTAGAGACGGACCGCTTCTCCGTTTAGTCGCCTTTTACGACAAGCAGGAGAGAACTGTGGGGATATTCTTTACTGGCCGTGCCCCACACAGCCAACTGTCTCATCAGCCTGACAGAATCTGCAATTCGCATTTTCTGTTAGTTCGATTATTTTCCATGTGTCTCTATTCCCTCGCAGATCATTCAAGAATAAATCAAAATCTGATCTTTCTAAATTATTTAATGTCACTGTAAGGGTACATTAACCAAATTTCTGATTTAAAAGATATATGTACATACCTGAAATTACATTGTGGAATCTTTTATAGACATACAAATAAATAAATTGACTTAAGCTGAATGCAACAAGGAATGAGTATTGTAAAACTGTTTGAACTTTTATCACACAAAATTTTGACAAATGTTGTTAAAAGAAATTAACAAAAATTTGCCAACGATTCTTTTTCTTCCAGTTTCACAATATGTCACTCAAGTAAAATTCAACTATTAATTAAAAAATCATTTAACCAACAACTAATAAATCTTCGCTGGGGAAGTTATAGGGTGGTACTTCCAAATTCAAAGGAGCTGGTCCTTTACGGATACGACCAGAAGCATCGTAATGGGATCCGTGGCATGGACAATAGTAACCTCCAAAGTCTCCTGCATTGGCAATTGGGACACAACCTAAGTGGGTGCATACACCAATTACAATCAAGAAAGATGGATTTTGGACACGGTCGTTATCATGTTGGGGGTCTCGAAGGGAACTAACTGGAACTGATTGTTCTGCTTGGATTTCAGAGGCGGATCTGTGACGGATGAATAGGGGTTTACCTATAATGAAAAAATATATTAGCTTAAAATGAACAAATATCCAAAACGCTAGTTTAGATACAACAGTTCAAAAAATAATTTATTACAAATTATTTTATTTATTACACATTATTTAGAAAATATACTTGTTCCCAATATGTATATTTTTCAAACAGGTCCAAAAAAATTACACTTGTTGTTTTGTTTTATTGCATTTCTTAAATTTCTATTCTTAACACTCAACTGGTATGATGGGTCAATATTGACCCGACTAAATCTAGTTTGATAATTTAACCAATATTGCAAACGGCGACGGCACTGGCCAATTATGAATTCTCCTATTTTGTATGGTACTCTCAGTTGACCTCTGACTATTGTGCGTGCGGGCGACTGTTTTCCGAAAACACAAGAAATCGGGCCAGATTTGACCCAGTATACTGACTGATTTGACTGTTTTAGACTGATAGAGGATTCAATTATAAGCAACTTTTATTCCATACAGTTTTTTCAAAAAGTCACGTCACATTTTCAAAAATGTTTTAACATTTTTTAACGGTTTTTCATGAATAACTCAAAAAATATGCCTTTGATCTAAAATAGTACGTAAAACAAAAATGAAGCTTACAAAAGAAGAATGAGATTCATTTTCCACAAGTTATTCTAGATAGAATACAAAGTGAGATATGGTCAGTGAAAGGAGACATTTTTTTGTGAATATTTGGATCAATGTATTCAACATTAAATTGTAAGAAAGGGGTTGAATTTTGGAGGGTAATGATATTAAAGTTTTTTATAGTTCATAAAAAGACCTTTAATATAAGCACTACAGAAGTCATTTGCAAGTAAACTGAGTTAGTTACAGCTTGTTAAAGATGGACTGTTCGAAATATAAATATAAGAAAAAGGAAATAAGGAAAAAAATAAATCATTTATTGGAACCATAGTGTCCAAATATAATTTGAGTTTGAGTTTTGTTTGGTAGTGATCTTATTTAATGGTTAGAGTAGTTCTGTAAAAAAAAGGGATCAGGTAACATGGGCGCCACCAGCAGGGTACAAGGGGTGCAATTGTATCCCTGTCTTGGGACTATACATGTATAGCTCTATATTTTATATTATTTAATAGTATGTGTAGATGCAAATGTACCCCCTGAAAAGCGGATGCACCTCCTGAAAATAATCCTGGTGGAACTCATATCGAGTGAGCTGAATTGCTACAACTGATTCTCACTCTTCAATTCTGACCCGTGGAAGGAGTGCAGTGATCATTGTGATGCCATGTATTGTCTGCCTTTAAAGATCTTTATCTCTGATCATTTCTATTAACTCATGCATAGGTCTTTTGCATATGCTTGTAATTTGGTCAATCCATCGTGTTGGAGATCTTCCTGGTGATCTTCAGCCTTCTACCTTTCTACTTGGATAATAAGTCTTTCCATGTTTTCTGTATCTCTTCTCAGAACAACTATTTGTTGTATTTTATTGTAAATGGTTTTACCATTGAAATAAATAAATAAATAAACATGTCAAAAGTATTTTAATTGTTGGAGATGGACTTTGCTGGATAGCTGCTTGCTGACTTTTTGCCCATTTAAAATTGAAATATTTGTCTTGTAGTCAGTCCACAGAATTTGTAACATTCTTCTTTGATAGAAAATTTCAGTGACATCTATCTTTCTTCTTTCCAACAACTGATTAGGTGAGTAATAAAGATAAATTTGATTTTTTTTTTTGGAAGAGGAAATATTGAAATGCAATCTAATAACAATGATTTGCCTTCTTTTAATTCTGTCATCAGGCATGCTTGAAATCTATAAGAATTTCATACAAAGGAATTTTGAATAAAGAAATAACAGGAAGTTTAGATTTCTTTCATAGAGAAAATTTATCTATAACTCATCAATTATGTCCAAATCTTGTTTAGTATTTCTCTATTTCATTCACTAGTATTTGGCTCTACAATGTTATCTTTGATAACTCCTCTTCAGGATGTAAAGGGAATCAGTTGAACCAATAATCTACCTAACCTTAGCTAATCAAAATTAAAAAAAAAGTACCATTGAAATTGTGCAGAATATCTTTTTGTCAACAGCAGCTCGATAAAGATACAAAAAATTAAGAGTTAAGAAATGGATAAATCTACGAATATTTTCCTGGTACTAAACCTTTCTAATACCAAGAAAGAGAAAATTACAGCCCACTTTTACTTACAAAATTAATATTAGTGATAATAATACAATATTATTTATTAACAATCTAAATCTACTACAACATCAAACTTTAATCTACAATTTACTAGAAACAAGTGTATAGGCTATTTATATATTATATTGTAAATGCATCATGAAAATAAATTTAATTCACTCACCAATGTGTGTTTCCAATTCTATTAATAAATAACAAATAATATTACCTGTTTGCTTGTGCTCTATAACGTATTTTCTTGTCTATATTACTTTTTGTACTAATGTATTTTTTTATATTTGTAATAAATCAATATTAGTCCCATTTGCAGTCAGTTTGAATATTACTTGCATTATTAGTAATGAGTACTAATTTTTCAGTATTGAAAAATTATAAAATATTACAACTTTCAAGTAACTATTTACAGAATACTACAATAGCTTGAATAAACAAAACAATTTTATAATAGTGCATTCACGAATAATATATTTAGATAATAAATCATGTCTTACCTCTCCATTTAAAGGTAACAGACTTGCCCTCAGGGATATCAGAAAGCTTAATTTCAATTTTAGCTAAAGCTAGTACATCAGCAGATGCACTCATAGAACTAACAAATTGTGAAACCACTGATTTGGCACCATACGCTGCACCCACGCTAAGTCCTCCAGCCATCAAATAGGTAAAATTCTTTCTGGCATCTTCATCATGGGATTTTTTTGCAGGGTCTTTAGTACCATCTCTGCGATAATGGGTAAAGTCTGGTACAGTAATGTCGGTATGTGCCAACCTTACTTGGCTGCTAACTGCTGGTCCGACTGAAATTGCAATGTTTCCTGTTGGTAGGGCTTTGCTAAGGGCAGAGGGTGAACTGCTTGACCATGGTATGTGAACCACTGATTTTTGTGGGAGGATCGCAACCTGTTTACTAGTGTTGAGTTGATTACTTACTACTTGGCTAACTGCTCTAAAGTAGCCAGGAACGTTAGCAGGCTTCAGCATCTTGAAATTTTGATCTTCAAGATTTAAAGTTATTATGCAACAAGACCACCTTTCTGAAAGCGCTAGTGACGTTTATATGACATATTAAATGACAATTTTGACTTTTGACCATTGACATCTTAAGGTTTGTTCAGAAAGTTTACTTTACACCAGCTTTACACAAATAAAACTTAAAATTCACACTTCTAATTTTAGTTTCTTTACCACATAATTTTTCTCCGGTTTACCGTTTATGGCCACCGTTTATGCATTCTCATATTACAATCCTCACTTCGTCAACAGCAAATTAATTTTAAACAAATTTTCAATAATGTTCGTAATTATCTCCGCCTATGAAATCTCGACATTTAATGATGACAATGATTGTCAACCAACACGTGTGCAAAAAAGTATAAAAATAACATTTCTGTCATTTCGTTGTCATCGGCAATCCGGGTACGAATTGCATCTGTTTGAATAGGTTATAATTTTTGAAAAAATGAGTGAAAATAATGAAGATACAATAAAAGCTTTAATGAGCTTGGGCTTAAGTGAACAAAAGGCAAAGGAGACTTTAAAAAATACCACAGTTACCTCAACTCTACTCAATATTCTTCATGAAGTAAGTACTTTCCCTTCAATATTGCACAATAAACCAATTATCTTTCACTAGGTACGAGGAGTAAACTTATCCGATGGTGCTGGAACATTACTTTACCAGTTGGGTACAAAAATTAAACCGCAAATTTCCCATCATTTACCTCTTCTTGTTAAATATATTGCTTCCAACAAACTTGATACTACTTTGAGAGTGGACAAAGCCATAGAGTTTGCTCTTTCTCATATAAAGGAATTAAATACAAATGAGTTAGAGACCTACTGTGGCGTCGGAGTTGTAATAACACCAGAACAAATTGAAAAAGTTGTTGAGAAGTACATAAAAGACAACAAAAATGATCTTCTGGAGAAGAGATACAGATTCAATACTGGGCCACTCATGCAGAAAGTTAGAGCTGAATTATTGTGGGCAGATGGAAAGGCAGTAAAAAGTGAAGTTGATCTTCAGGTAATTAATGATTAATCTTTGTTTACAATAAAAAAAGCTAATTATATTTATCTTTTATAATTTTTTTAACTTTAGTTGAAGATATGGGTTTATAAATCATACACTATATAATACCTACACAATAAATAGTATTGAACTGCTACAGCCTCTGATTATAATGTTTAATTCTTCATTTTTGGGATTTTAAAATTCCAAATATAACAATAATATTACACACCTTTCACACACTAATGTCTCTGCAATACAAATATGTCATCTAATTAATGTTTATTTTTGTTTTTAAGGTTTTTGATTTGCTTGGATCCAAGACTGAAGCAGACTTGGCACCTGCTCCCAAACCTGATAAAAAGGCCAGTAAAGTTACCAAAAATGAAGTCAAGCAAAATAAAGATGTGCAGAAAGCTGAAGAACTTGGTAAGCATATAAATATTAACTGTTCTTTAGTTTCAGTTGTTTTTTGGTTTTTTTTTGCAAATTCAATAATTAAATTAAAATTGTAATAATCTTGAAATATTCCGTATTCTGTATATAATGTATTTACTGAATTTTACTCAAGATCAATAATGGAATCTATTAGAGTATGATAAAATTACTTTGAAGGATAACATTACAATGAGTACAAATGAAAATTGTTTGATTAAAATTCACTCCAGTCATAGGGATCTGACATGGGTAAAAAAACATTGATGTTGAGCATCAATGGTAACATTGAACCTGAACATCGATAGTAACAATATATGGAAAAGAAAATATCAACGTTATATAAACATCAATGTTTATACAAATGTTGAGTAATGTGAAAAAACTGGAAAAAAAAGCACAAAACAGGTCAGAATGGAGAACAATCTTTGAACAGGCCAAGACCCAAAAAGGGTTGTCGAGCCAGTGATGATGATGATGATGATGAGTAATGTGAAAAGAATAAATTAAATAAGTATTACATAAACATGTTTGAATTGCTGAAAAATGTGGTGTAACAATTAATAATTATCTCTTGATAGATATTTTAAACACAAATAAATTATTAGAAAAAAAAAACAAATAAGTAATATATTAAATTATATGTCCCAATAATCCTTATCAATATTATGTAAAAATAATAGTTTAGATAGCAGATTTACTTTTATCCTGTTTCCTTGCTGAGTTCCTGTCTGGCCAGCTTTATCAAAGAGTTGTTCAGATGGTACGAATGTGGCTACAACTGCTCAATATTTATGTGCTATAATTGCTAAATTCAGGTGTGTAGGTTTATTTTCTTCCCACCATTTAATAGGATCTACTTTTATTGATAAAACTGAGCTTTTTAAATTAAGAGATAACTCAGATGAAGAGGTAGATGTTGATATTTCTTTTGTATTTTTAGAGATTAAACTTAAGTGATCTACCCATAAATCAAATACTTCGGGTATAGCTAAAACAATTAGAATTAGATTAATTATCAGGCAACAGATGAGGATGAATAAGGAAAAAGAGCTTATGCTTATAATAAAAGAACGGAAAACACAATATTTTGGTCACATCATAAGAAATCAAAAGTATGAACTGCTCCAACTTATAATCGAAGGCAAAGTCAATAGCAAAAGAGGACCAGGAAGAAGACACAACTCTTAGCTTAAAAACCTACGGCAATGGACGAACATTACCTCCATAGAACTATTCAGGGCTGCTACAAATAAGATTAAATGGGCAAATGTAATGGCCAACGTCCTTAAGGATAAGGCACCGTAAGAAGAGAAGATCGGGCAACAGATTAAGACAAAAAATGTTTACCTGGTTCTTTATGTTCAATAACGATAAAAAAGCTTTGTTGAGAGATGTCCATCTTCAGTTGCATTTCCTCTTGTAGACTTTGAACTGCTTTTGTACAATCTAATGGAGAAGTAAAATACATCTTCTTAAAGCAAGGATCAAGAACTACTGAAAGTGAACTTGTTCTGCTGTTTCAAAATGTTTGTTACATTCTATTCAGAGAGATTCTTTTAATTTCTTTCAACAATTTGATTGACTTATCTCTTAATTTGAGAAATCTAGTAATGGATAGTACTTTGAATTCCATCTAGTGGAAACTTCTTGAATTAGTTTTTTCACATTATCTAGTCTTGGGCTGTTCTTAGCTCATCACTAGCATTTACACAATAGCCATGTTATTATTTGCTTCATTTTTTTAACAGTTCTGTCAATGTTTCACAAGATCAAAAGGCAAATTAATTTCATGTGCAAAACAGTGCAGATATTTTTCTTTCCCAAACATTGTCTCTACTGAATTATTGATATTTGTGGCTCCATCAGAAATTATGACAGAAACATGTTCCATCTTAATATGCCAATCTTCCATAATGGTAGTCATTACTTTCCGCAAATATTTTCCTGCATGTGATTGACATAACTCAGTGACTCTCAATGCCACAGCCTCTATTTTAAGATCATCAAGAAAATGCCCAATAATACTTTTAGACTGCATCGATTCAGTACATATATCTGTAGTAATAGTATATGATGTTAATATTATATTTTTTGACAAAACAAATTTGTCACAGCGATGTATTTTTTAATATTGTTCTGAAGCTATTTTCTTGTGGCATTTTAAATTAATTACTATTTAGCTGGGAATAAGCCACAATTAAAGATAAAAATACGTTTATTGGCGTTTCAATTTCCACTTCGGAAATCATTCTCAAAATACAACGATTTCTGAAGTGGAAATTGAAATGTCAATAAACGTATTTTTATCTTTAATTATGGCTTATTCCCAGCTAAATAGTAATTGATGTATTTTTTATCTAAAAGAGCAATAATAGTTTTCCTGGAAGGTATTTTATAGAGGCAACTGACAAATATATACAGAATATGTAACAATAAAACACTGAAAACTTTGTTTTCAAACTTCCACAAAATTTATTTTAAATCTTATCACTACACTGTTTCGGCTGATTGCCTTTCTCAAGTGATCTATTTTTGGCTTGGGTTTACAAATTTATAATCTCTAATGAAATAAGTTGAGGAGGGGAGAACTGTTTGTCTCAAGTTGGTCATTCAGAATTATATCTGTGTTTTTTAATTTGTTGATTTCCATAGATTCTAACAAAGATAGCTTAAGGCCTTTATTTTGAATGTGAAGATTTTTTAATTTGTCATTAAAAGAATGATTATGATCTAGAAGGTGAAGTGCGTATGTCGAATCTGTTTTTCTATTCTTGAAAGCCCTTTTATGTTCTGCTATTCGTTTATCAAAGTTTCTACCAGTTTGACCGATGTAAGTTTTTGGGCAGTCGCCACATTGAAGTTTGTACACACCACTATTTAAGTGTTTTTTATTTTGGCTCTTGTTATTTTTAATATATTTGCCTAGGTTGTTATTTGTTCGGAAAGCTGGTGTTAATTCTTTCTTTTTTATGTGTTTGGCAATTTTTGTTGTTATTTTGCCTGTATATGTAATCGAGCAGAAGGTACTGGGGTTTTTCTCTGGTGGTGGAAATACTAATTTCAGGGCTTTCTTGTGTAGTTTTTGATTTAACATTTTATTAATTGTTTGTTCGTTGTATCCGTTGTTTACTGCTATTTGCTTAATTATATTTAACTCTGTCTCAAAGTTGTATTTGAACATCGGAATTTCTGTTAATCTATGTAACATACTATGATAAGCTGCCAGTTTGTGTTGTGTTGGATGGGATGATGAATTGTGTATAGTCGTGTCAGTATGGGTAGGTTTATGAAATATGGAGAAGTCATGTTTGTTTTGAAGTCTGCTAATTTTTAAATCTAAAAAATTTATGGATTGATTTTGTTCTGTTTCTATTGTAAATTTAATATGACTATGATGTGAATTAATATACGATAAAAATTTATTGAGTTGCCTGTTAGTTCCTGTGAAACATACCGGTACGTCGTCTACGTATCTCCACCAATATAAAAACTGTTTGAATACGGGATGTTTTGAAATCTTTGTCTCTAGATGATCCATAAAAATATCTGATAGCAATGGGCTTAGAGGATTACCCATTATAAGTCCTGCACTGTTATTTGTATATATTTTATTATTAAATTCAAAGTAGTCCTAGTTTATGCAAACTTCAAGAAGATGTAAAATTTCAGATGTAATTATTGGATTTGTACTATTTTGGTCTAAAAGGTTTTTTACTAGAATAAAAGTTTCTGTAGGAGGGATACTAGGAAAAAGATTTTTTACGTCAAATGATGAATGTCGAATGAAAATTTTAGACCAAAATAGTACAAATCCAATAATTACATCTGAAATTTTAGTCTTACAGCTTGGACTAATAAGCGTTTTAAATTTAGAAATGTTGTTCTTCCGCAGCAGCATTTAATTTTGAATTATAAAATGGACTTGTTTAATAACAAATCTCTTCCATTTTACTGTTCTACACTCTGTGTTAAAATTTATTTACACATTTATTTTTGTTGTCTCAGTAATTTCCTGAGATTAATATAAAAACACAGAATGCTTGTTTAGTAATTCCAGTAGCTTTAACAATCTGGATTTTTTGCATTATAGGTATGAAAAGTACATGTTTTGGAATTTTTTTGAACAAATTGTCCCTTTTTTTTTCTAATCGCTGATAAATGTTTATTAAAGGGTTTTATATTAATTTTTTCAGATCAGGGTTTAACAATATTAGATGTTATGAAAAAGGTCAATTTTCATGCACCTGGAGAAAACTACAAAACTGATGGATACGTGGTTACAGAAAATACTGAAAGATTACTGAAAGAACATCTGAAAATTACTGGTGGTCAGGTAAGTATTGGATAAAATAGCAAATACGCAAATTTATAAATATTATGTGGCAATAATAATATCACAATTGAGGACATTGCTGCAAGAACATGGCAGCTCCATTTATAGTAACTTTTGGAAAATAGAAAAAATGCAAAGAAAATTGGAGTATTTCTTGCACCAAAATTACAAAAAAAGTGTCCATTGTAGTTATTATTGGAAAATAAAATAAAAGTTACTGCAAAAATGTATTATTATTATTAAAAATTAACAAAAAATCGTTTTTTCTTTTATATTCAAACAGAAAATCAGTTTATTCATCATCACATTTAAGGGATTGGTAAAACTCCATTTCGTTGGCTGGAACATAGTTGGTAGCTAACTGCATTACGTCTTTGTAATTGGCCTTTTTTATTGTCCCTCAAAATGTAGTACGATTCAAAAATAGGAATACCAAGTGTAACAGACACATTAACTGTATCCATGTGGTCTTTGCTGTATTCAAAAATCCGGTGTTGAGAAATCTTAAACCTCTGTTTCTGAGAATTCTTTATAACTTTTTTAAAATGGTTCTCAAAATGACTGCTAAAGTTGAAGATCATATCTTGATGAACCATAATGAAGACTAAATACTAAACTTAAACTTCCGTTAATTCCATTTGAGGTCAAACTAACTGTTACAGCCGAAGCGTCTCAATGTTTGGCGAAAGAAGGGGGCATCTCCGGAGCTACATCCTTCTTGCAGCAAAAAATTTCGGAGGCAGGTGCATAAACAGTTATAGGTTTACCATTTATAAATGGAGCTGCTTTTTTCTTGCACCAATCGATTTAACTAATTTTTTTACATAATATGCATATATAAACTAAAATTTGACCAAAAATGGAGCTGCCCTTCTTGCAACAAGATCCTCAATTCACGTTTTTTGAAAATACTGACATATTGTTAAAACTCTCCTGTTTGTAGGTAAGAACCAGATTCCCTCCAGAACCCAATGGTATCTTGCACATTGGTCATGCCAAAGCTATTAACATAAATTTCGGATATGCTGCTGCCAACAATGGCATATGTTTCCTGAGATTTGATGACACTAATCCTGAAAAAGAAGAAGAAAAATTTTTCACGGGCATTAAAGATATGGTTTCTTGGTTGGGTAAGTGATGTGTAACAGTCATAATTATTTCACAATTGTTGGGAGTCACTTATAACACATGCGAATGTCTTTAAAAGCTATTAATGAGAACTATTTCTCATATCTAGAGTGTTGAGTTCCTTAGATCCACTGTCAACATCCTGGCAAACTACTAAGGCTCATTGAAAAAACATCAGGAACAAAATACAGAGTATATATACAGTGGAACTTGGTTATAGCGTCATTGAAGGGTCCAATAAAAAAATGACGCTATATCAGAATGACGTTAAAAAAGAGGTTGAGAAAAATAAAATTTTAATGAGGGAAAATATTATTACAGCATTATTGGGTATAGTAGATATATTATTTGTTAATTACTCTGGGCCTAAACATGATAATTTAACATAGTTTACGATATACCGAAAATATAACATTTACTTAAGTCAAATTAAAAAAAAAAAAACAAGAATCATTTTAGGATAAAAATCAATTAAAAAACAAAACATATTATGTATGTATATGAAACTTACATTGTGTAAAAAAGTTCTATTGCTGAAAAAAGTCCGTTATTTTCTTTTGCATAACCCTTTCCGAAAAATAAAGTTTTTCTGTTGTTTCCTTAATAAGCTGAGCTGCTTCTTTGGTATTTGTGGATGCCTCCCTGAACTGGTAAAACCTGGATATGGTCTCAGCAGCTCTCATTGCTTCTTGGATTGTAGGACAAGCAACGATGTCTTCTTCTTCTTCAGCTTCATCGACATCCATTTCCACGTTTTGCACCAGTTCAACAATTTCTTTATCACTTAGGACTTGAAATGTTTCCACCTCATCGTCTACTGAAATGTAGGAGTCAAGATCAGTTCCGAACGCTCCCTGATTCACATTAAATTTTTGTATCCACTCTGACAAAGACATTTCGTCATCTTTATCAACGTCCTCAACATTGAGAGAAGCTACAGTCAATTTTGCTTGACGAAAACACTTATGAATCGTCACTGACGTAACCGCACTCCACGCATTGTCTAAAAACTGAACAGCATCCAGGATGGTAATGTTCACAGGTTCTCCATTATCCATACAAAAAATCATTCTTTTTAAAAGCTGTTTTCGATAATGGCACTTTAAACTTTTTATGACTCCCTGGTCCATAGGCTGCAAGACACTCGTGCAGTTGGCTGGTAAGAACACTAGATTTATATTGGTCAAATTAAGTTTGGGATGGGCTGCACAGTTGTCAACTAGGAGAAGAATTTTTTCTTTTTTTGAAAGAGAGTTCCTTGTCCCACTTTCTCAATTCTTCTTCAAAAATAGCAGAAGTCATCCATGCTTTTTTATTGGCTGTGTAGTTTACAGGTAGTGTTTTAATGTTTTTGAAACATCTAGGATGTAAACTTTTCCCAATAACCAAAAGCTTTCTTTTCTCTGTACATGTCATATTTGCACAAACAAAAGCCGTCACTCTTTGCTTGGAAAGTTTTCCACCGACACATTTTTGATTTTTGAAATTTAAAGTTTTGTCTGGCGTTAATTTATAAAAGACACCTGTCTCGTCACCATTAAAGATATCTTCATCTTTGTATGGTTGCCTTTGTTGTGGCCATGTGTTTTGTAACCAGTCACTTGTTACGTTCTCGTCCACACATTTTGCCTCTCCAACAATTTTCGAGAAGGAAATTGAGTGCCTGGCTTTAAACCGATCTAACCAGCCGTTAGAGCATGTGAAATCTTCACCAAACAATTTTCCGAACTCTGTAGCTTTCTCCTTTAAAAGTGGCGCGGACACAGGGATATCAGAACTGCGACACTGCTTGAACCATTTGAGTAGAGCTGAATCTACATCATCACGAATGCACTTCCTAATCTTTTTAACATTGTTTCCGTCCTCTTTAAAGGCTTTTAAAATTTTGTCCTTGTTTTTTATGATTGAGCCGACAGTTGAATTAACAAGTCCAAATTGCCGGCATACATTAGCAATTTTTCGACCACTTTCAAATGCTCTTATAACACGCACTTTTTCTTTAATAGGCAAAACCTCCCTTTTAGTGCTACAACTTGCCATATTAAAAAATAAAAGCTAATTACCAAATTAAAATAAAAAAAAAAAAACAAAACGATCCGAACACAATTTCACGGTAGCGAAAATTTCTTAAACCGACTGTTCCGAAACAGAAAATTTGACTGTTAGGAGTGTTAGGACGGCACTGATAAATGCGAAATTATAGATTGTCAGGGTAACATAACTGTACACAGAAGGGATAATGGACCTTTCTTACATTCTTGGAAGGAACAAATGCCGCAAAGCCAGAAACGCATTGCACTTTATTCTTCATAAAATAAAAAAAGGATAACCTACTATAAAATTTTATGACGCTATAACCGAGGGTTAGTTTATTTTTAGCCGATAAAACCGGGTTTTTAATAACGTTATGGAATAGTTTTTGACCGGACCTATTAAAAATTGACGTTATAACCGAGATGACGTAACTATCGAGGCCGTAATAAGCGAGTTCCACTGTATATCTGATGTGGACATTTATAAATACATTGTTTATCATAAACTCATTATTTTTACGTTTTTATTTTGTATTTTGTCTTATGTTGTTTAAAAATCAAATAAAAAGGTTTGTATTTTGAGAACAATTTCCGAAGTGGAAATTGAAACGTCAATAAACTTACTTTAACCTTTAAAATTGTGACTTATTCCCATTTAAATAGTAATTACTTTAACATGCCACAAGAAAATAGCTTCAGAACAATATGTATTTTCTTCACTTTAGGACATGTGTATCTCATCCGAATATTCAAATAATGATATTTTTTAAGTATAATTTGTCATAATTTCTGTGCAACAAGTATATACGAATATAGCTTTACTATTTACTATTAATAAGAAATAAGTTTGATGGTTTTGTTGTACCACTAAATTGTAGCAGGTCATATCCATCATGTGGCATTCTTCGACATATTTTTACTTTTTTACCTAGAAACGTTAGAGAATAAGATGTGGACTATTACACTATGTATCACTTGCCGATACTATACTTTTAAATAATTCTTTTAGGATATACCCCATATAAGATAACACACTCCTCAGACTATTTCGACCAATTGTATACTTGGGCGATTGAGTTAATCAAGAAAGGACTCGCATACGTTTGTCACCAAACAGCTGATGAGATGAAAGGGTTCAATCCTCAACCTTCACCTTGGAGGGATAGGCCAGTCGAAGAGAATTTACAACTCTTTGAGGTATGTAAATATCAATATAACAGTAGTAGAAGGGAGGGTTTAGAAATGGAGGTTAGTTACAAAAGGTAATTTAGACTTTATTTACGCTGTTTATGGAGATTGTTAGAAAAACGGCCAACATCTAATATATTGTTTAATAATATATTTAATAATTGTTTTTGAAATGTTAATTTTAAGGTCTCTCCGATAATTTTCATCACTGATTTACTTTACTTTTCGATAATCCAATGATAGATTTACTAATGTCTGGATTTTGTAAATTTTTTCAAGAATGGCTGTTTCGTCAGTATATCTGATATTGTCCATGACTGCTCCGCCTAGTCTTACTCCCTCTTGTATGTCATCCAAAGCCTCCATCGATATTTCTTCAAAAGACTGGGTGGCAAAACAACCCTGTCGTACTCCACATTCGATGGGTAGTTTTTCGTGGATTACTTGATTGAAATACATATAAGTATTTGCTGCTTACAGGCAGCCGAAAAGTGTATCGTGTTGTACTTGTTCGACTGCCTTCTCGCAGTCGATGAAACAAACAAACGTTACTTTAGAACTGACAACTTTTAAAGAGAAGTTGTCTTAATTTTGATCTCTCGCTAGGTTATACTCGTAGAATGTTGCTGTAGGTTAGAACAGTTGAATCTTTTAAACCTTACAGTCACTTCCACTGGATGAAATAGTACCTCTAAACCTTCTCTTCCATACATAAAAAGCTGTTGCATATCTGATTCTAATATGAAATTCATTATAGAAATTGGTTTAGTGGACTTCTTAAAAATGGCTTTACTTTATAATCAGAATCTGCTTGTAAGAACCCATTTCTATTATCTCCATTTAAACGTCTTATCAAGAATACACAGGTATTTATTGAAAGTTTTGAAAATATACAATATTTTCTCAGATTATATGCAATGATAGAAGTCTTTATGATTGCAAAAATTAAAATGTTGAATTCTGCATCAAATAGTATATTCTTGTACTAAGTTTATAAACAATAAACATCATACTGATCATACTCTCGGATTTCGTTAAATCCTTTAATATCCATGTCTAACCTACACTAAACAACAATATTTATGTTATATTTTTGATTTCGCGATAACCTACAACGTAACTACAATAAACATAATTTATTATCCAGATAACTTTTTATTCAGTAATTTATTTGTTAAATAAATATTTTATATGTCAGATAATTTTAATTTATTTTATCTGTCAGTTTATCTGTTCAGATTTCTTTCCTAGGTGACGCTAGAATTTAAAATCTAAACTAACATAAAATTTTAAATTATTTTGTATTAAATAGTTTAGATTTCTTTCCTAGGTGGCGTCTTTAGTTTACTGGACAAACGGTGGTGTGACTTGTCCTCATAGTCTTTTATATAGATATATAGTACCTCTCTAGTTAGTAGATCATTTCTATATCCAAATTGCCTATTACCCATTCTACTTTCGTACAGAAGGAATACTTGGTTTTGTATAATTCATAACAATTTCTGAAGTGTATAGCTCATCAAACTTATTGGGCCTGCTTTTCATTGGTAACGTTATAAACAGTGACTCCAACCAATCATCTGGTATTTGTCCTTCGTTGTAATTTTTATTAAAGGAAGTGGTTAAGTAATGTTTTCCTCATCCAATAGTTTAAGTAGCTCAGCATTGATTTGATCTGGTCCAGGTGCTTTATTATTTTTTTTGGCTTACTATTTTAAATGTACCTGATTCTAAAGATCAGCTGGATTTAATAATTTCTCTTATATAAAGGACCCCAACTCTTCTCTTATGTAAAAGTGGTTACTGTTGCGCCAAGACTCAGAAATCAATTGTTTCTTAGCAACAAAGGTACAAAGTGTCGGTTTTTTTAGTCCATTTTTCAAAATCATGACACATACTCTGTACTCTCTCTCTTCAATCCTGACCCCCCAGGAGGAGTGTAGTAGTCGACGTGATGTCGTGTATTGTCCGTCTCCAGAGATCTCTGTCTCTGGTCATTTCTTTTAATTCATGCGTAGGTCTTTGGCATACTCCTGTAATTTGCTCTATCCATCTTGTTGGGGATCTTCCTCGTGATCTTCGGCCTTCTACCTTTCCTTGTATTATGAGTCTTTCCATGATTTCTGTGTTTGCTCTCATAACATGCCCAAAATATTTTAATTGTTGGAGATGGACTTTACTAGAGAGTCGTTGGCTAACTTTTAGCTCTCTTAAAATTGAATTATTTGTTCTACGGTCGGTCCAAGGAATTCGTAACATTCGTCTCCAACAGAACATTTCAGTGGCGTCTATCTTTTTTCTCTCCGATTGTCTCAGATTCACATCCGTAGGTCAGTATTGGGAATATTAAGCAGTTGATCAACCTCATCTTTATCGCTCTTGAAATTTGACAGTCCTTCCATATTTTGGTCATTTTTGCTGTGGCGACTTTTGTTTGCAACACTCTGTACTATTAAATAAGAAATGTGTTATTCGAGAAAGAAATATGTATATTGCAGTATTGATAAAGAAATTATCGATAGTGTATATCATAGAAAGTTTTGTCTATGTGTTACAAAGGCTGTAACATTCTTTTTGTTAAAGGCTCCGAAATGCATGAGATCTCGATTATTCAATAATTTCCTAACCAATATAAAGACTATTGAGTTTTTAGGACTCTTCAAAAGATATTTAATTATTACTTAATAAATAAATACAAGTAGGTATTATATATTTCATCGTTGACCTTTTTTGTGAACATTATAATATAATTGTAATAAATTGTCAAAATGTATTGTTATAATTTATTTTTATTTTATGAATATGAAAATATTTTAGGATATGAAAAATGGAAAAATCGACGAAGGCGCAGCAACACTGAGAATGAAGATTACTTTGGAAGAGGGAAAACTGGATCCAGTGGCTTATAGGGTACGATTCACTCCTCATCATAGAACTGGAGATAAATGGTGTATCTACCCTACCTACGATTACACCCATTGTTTATGTGATAGTATAGAACATATCACGCATTCACTTTGTACCAAGGAGTTCCAATCCAGGTAATTGAAGGAACTTCTCTATTATCTCCATTGAAAACCTCTTGTTGCACACATTTTGATACATATTAAGGCTCGTTATCTCTAATTCGTTGTAATATATGAGTGTTAGTAAACAACATAGCAAACTAAGATTAATTCAGTTTTTGGAATATATATGACAATGTCAATATTTAAGTAAAAATATGGAAAACAAAATATGATTGTAGAGTCGGAAATCGTCTAAGTAATTTGTCCCATCAAGTAACGTCCCGTCCCGTCACCGAATTCATGAAGCTTGAGTTAGCATAGTTTGCTTAATTTAATTTTTTTGTCTCCTCAGATAGGTATACCTTCCAATAAAAAGACTTTAATCATCATAGGAGACAGTCAAAAGAAATCTCGTGTGTTAATATTTACAAAATATCACAATTACTCAGTGAAACCTACTAGCCGTTGAGATTATTTATAGAAAGCTTTGACCCTCAACATTAATAACACACATATTAAATATAATATAATGGACAAAATACATTCTAAAATTTTTTAAAATTTATTTAAGGATAGTAAAACTTAATTTAATTTATGACATCTTTTAATGGTGTGTTTTAACTTTGATGCATAGAGAACAGAAAGAAAAAAACAAAAACAGTATGATTAAAATTTAAATAACTGATCTTCATGTTGTAGTAATGGATGTATTATAATAAACCTGTCTTAATGGTATGCAACATGTTATACATACAACTGTATTACGGCGTGTATATGTAAAGGTAAATGTTTATTTTATTTTTGATTTTTTTTCGAAGTAAATAGCAATAAATGTTGCTCAGTTTATCTATATCAGACTTTTTATTTATGCAAGACTTACTAGATTTTAGGAATCTTGGAATTGATTGAATCTTGGATTTTATGATCTTGAAAATGTGTTTCATAAAATCTTTTACCTTTACATATACACGCCATAATGCACCTGTATGTTGCATACCATTAAGACAGGTTTATTATAATACATCCATTACTACAACATGAATAACAGCTAATTACATTTTAATCGTACTGTTTTTGTTTTTTCTTTTTGTTCTCTATGTATCAAAACACACCATTAAAAGATGTCATAAATTAAGTTTTACTATCCTTAACTAAATTTTAGAATGTATTTTGTCCATTATTTTATATGTGTGTTATTAATGTTGAGTGTCAAAGCTTTCTATAAATAATTTCAACGACTATTAAGCTGCACTGACTAATTGTGGTATTTTGTAAATATTTACACATTCTTCTTATTACAGTGTCTTGAAAAAGGAATAAACAATTTCGAAAGCTAGACCAAAAGTCAAAAGAGTGTTTCTTTAACATCCCGGCCAAACTTCGGACTGCAGCCCTATGTAACGAATATTTTGCTTACCACTTAGGATATTATTATAGGGGGTTGAAAATTGGAAAGAAATTATTGGGGTAGAGATAGGGCAAGCAAAATAAACGAAACTGTTGCGGACGGCTCTCAGGAATTATTTGGAGAACTTTTAAATAAATTTATGTTTCGGTCGATAACCCTACCAGTTTTGCTATATATATTATTATTTTATTTATTTATTTATTTATTTTTAGGCGTTCAAGTTACTACTGGTTATGCAATGCCTTAAATATATATTGTCCTGTACAGTGGGAATACGGACGGCTCAATGTTAACTATACAGTCGTATCAAAAAGAAAAATAGCCAAACTTATTGATGAACAAGTAGTTAAAAGTAAGTTTCTAACGTTTTAATATAATTTTGAATAGTGTTACCCACCTTCAGGAATTTTCGACAATCCAATAACTATTTTTTGATAAATGTTTGTTTTGTACTTCTGTTAAAACTAATATTCGATTTTTTATTAAAAAAAAATGATTTTCAATACTGATAAGTTTCCTATTAACTCGGAAACTTAACTAACTTAACTATTTTTTATATAATTTTCTGGAATAATAAAAAAATGTCTTAAGTAGTTACCATACTCTATAAATTGCTTATAAAGCAATGAATATTGATTAAATAAATATTCTATTAGTGATATAAATGTAACCATATTTAATCTTATGTTTTTTTTTAGATTGGGATGACCCAAGACTGTTCACTCTCACTGCCTTAAGAAGACGCGGATTTCCTTCGGAAGCCATTAACAACTTCTGTGCTCAATTGGGAGTTACAGGGTCTCAAAGCACTGTAGATCCGTCCATGTTGGAGGCCTTCGTTAGAGATTACTTAAATAATACAGCGCCAAGGTAAATATTACAAAGTGGTGGAATTATTGAAAACAAATTTTTATTTATTTATTTTTTAATTTTTAGGAGGATGGTTGTTTTAGAACCGTTGAAGATTACCATAGAAAACTTCCCGCATAGCAAGCCCATAGCTTTGTCAGTTCCTAACTTCCCATCCAAGCCAGAACTGGGTAGTCACGATGTTATTCTGAATAGAACTATATACATTGAAAAAAGCGACTTCATGGAGGTAAGATCAAAAGGATGGTGATGTTTCTCACATCAATTTTAATTCTAATATCAAGTTGTACTAAAAATCTGTTTATTTATTCTGATTGAGTCAATGCAATGTTTATTAGTGTATAAAATGAAGGGCATCTAATTTCACTTGTTAAATATCTGTTAAATCGGAGTTTATATAATCTGAGAAGCTAGATTTAAAGCCTATATCTCTATTGTTTTGGCAGGTGGAGAACTATTTCCTCAGGTTTTTAACCGTAGTCTTCTCCCAATTCCTCGCTTTCCGAATATTTTGCCTTGAAGAATTATTTTCAGGAGTCTGTAATGTCAACAATCCTGAAATACTTCCCACCCAAGAGAGCGGCGTAAATCAAAGTCGCAGGACTAAATACGGAATCGACGGAATACTTATATAGGAAAAGAATATCAGAGAAGATGGCTGGGAATGAAATATTAGAAAACGATAACATCGAGGAAAGCTGGGAAAAACTCAGCTAAACTAAAAAAATAATATAATTAAAACAACAGAATCACTTGGAGAGAAGAAAGTAACGAACACTAACATATCAAAAAAGAAAACACCATGGTTTAGAGAGGAAGTGAAGACAAAATGGGAAGAAAAGAAGAAAGCCTTTTTACAATACAGAACACAACAGGCATACAACCACTATAAACGAATCAGAAATGAAACGAATACTTTAGTTAGACAAATAAAAAAGGAACACTGGCTTCTTCTTCTTGTGTCACTCCTATCGGAGATTGGAAATCATCAAGGCTATCCTGACCTTGTTTACAGCTTACCTAAAGAGTTCATTAGTGCTACAGCCAAACCACTCTCTCAAATTACGCAACTATGACATTGTTCTACGGCCTGGATTCCGTTTTCCTTCTATTTTTCCTTGTATTATATTTTGAAATAATGCGTATTTATGTCCTCTCATCAGGTGACCCAAATATTCAAGTTTTCTTCGTTTGATCGTTGACTAAATTCCTGGGTATTTTCCTATCCTTCGTATTATTTCAAAGTTTGTGACTCTTTCAACCCAACTTATCCTCAGCATTCGACGGTAGCACCATAGTCAGCAGTGTAACCCTGATATCTTCATTTTTAAATGGAGAAATTTTTAAAATTCTATTAAATCTCACCTGGAAGGCTATCTGCTGCAGGACAGGATATATATAATTTAATTCTCCACACACATTAACATATAAGAAATTAAAAATGAAAGTGTTTTTCAGAACTGGTTCTAGATGACCACTATCCACCTAATTACAAAGTTTTATTCGTTTTCTAAAAATAATACCATCCTTCCACTGCGTTCCATCTAAATCATAACCTTCTTCACAGTTTTTCTGTAATGTTAGCAAATGTATAAATGCCATTTCTTATAATGTGTTTCTCAAATGGATTAACCGATGACTTCAGGCTGGGCTTGCAAATGCTTCTTTTTGGGTGAACTAAATTTTGAATTCACACACAACGAATTCTTGTATTATGTGATTTTTGTCAATGTTTTGTGGTTATTTGTAAATAGTATATCCAATTAAAATCAAGCAATATACATTAACATTGCATTTTAAATTTGCAGATTGGAGATAAAGGTTACCGTCGACTAACAAAAACGCAATCTGTTGGTATTCGACATGCTGGTTTAGTTTTGGAGGTAACTGATGTTAAAAAAGATGGCAATAACATCAAGGAAGTTATATGTAAGTGTACGGAAGTAGATAAAGTTAAAACGAAACCGAAGGCTTTTATCCATTGGGTCAGTGATCCTCAAGAAATAGAAGTCCGTCTATATTCTCCTTTGTAAGTAAAATTTAATATTATGTAGTTATAGAATATTATATACTCTTTCACTGTTCCATTCATGTCACAAAATTAAAATTATACATTAATCCCTAAAATGTGAATCCTGGTGAATCTGCACACATTTGCTATTCCGTTTTTCTTAAAATTCTTTTATATGAGAATATATTGATATTAAACTATAGAAAATGTCACACTGAGAGTGCAGTACGGCTAAGATACGGCAATGCTTTTCTTATGGAGAATAAACGCGCAGCCGCAGGGTTGTCGGCTTTCTCCAGCTGTTGATTGCTCATTGTCTCACAGGACCGGCTTGGATAAAATGCATCTGCCGGCAGTACGAGTAAAATATTTTATATCATGTATACGTATACAGTAGAATAAAAAGGCATTGATGAGTTATTGACAACGAAAACTATGAGTTTTGCATATAAAATGTCAACATGAGTTATACAATTTGAACACCTCTTTACAAGAACAACATACAATAACTGTAGTTTTAATGTTTTACATAAAATAGAAAAAACCTACATAATTTCTAGGAAAGAATTTGGAAACTTGGAAATGATATTATTTATAGATATTATATATAATATTCAAATTTACACATCTTTTATAGAAATTAGATTTTTTCTATTGTATGTAAAATATTAAAAATACAGTTATGTTATTTCTATAAATAGGTCTTCATTTCTTTTGTAAAACTTCTGCTACAAATTACCATCATTAATATAATCACCTAAATATGACCATAAACTTGTTTGTCATAATTAGTATTTGATAAACGCCAAGCTTTATCTATTTCACCCCCTACTCAGCCTAAGGAATAGTGGCGAAAAATGGGAGAGACCTATGTCCAGCAGTGGACAGAAGAGGTTGCATGATGACTTTGGAAAAACGAAAAGATAATCCCAAATGCGGTCCTGTTAGAGGCCTAAACCTGTTAATGTTTACGTCTCCTGCCTTGCTTACTGAATTTTAGTATAAATTAATAGTTTTTTTCAGTACCATTTTGTGTAGACTATCATTTTTATTTTTTTTTTTTGTTTTTAGATTCAAACATAAAAACCCCGAAGATCCAAATGAAGTCCCTGGAGGATTTTTAACAGACTGTAATTCAGATTCATTAAAGATTTTAAAAAGTCTGGCAGATAGATCTCTTTTAACTGCCAAAGTTAGTGATAAATTTCAATTTGAGAGAATTGGGTTCTTCTCGGTAGATCCAGATTCTACCAAAAACAACGTGAGTACACGCAATATTCTTCTATGTTATTTATATTTTATTGGATGTATTTTTTCAGCTTGTCTTCAACCAGACAGTAGGATTGAAAGAAGATGCAGGAAAATGATGTTAGTACAAATTTTTCTGTTCTTTGATTTGTATAAAAATATTTTAAATTATTTCTAAAACAGTTGTTTTTTTATTCCTTACAAACAAGTCAAATAGAAGTACACACACTCATGCGCGCGCATATACAGAAACTCGTATTACATTGTATGGATCATTTCTTACATTTGCAAACCGCTGTAATATGAAACACATACGAGCTCATGGATAGGATCTCCCACAAACGCTTCCTCTCATGCACCTGTGCACACGCTCATATATAGAATTATTCATATAAAAATAAATTCACGCCATTCATGATTTACGACGTCAGAGCTCCACAGCGTTTCCAAAACATCAGAATAGTTAATAAGTGAGGAATTTTCAAAATGTCAACTATTAAGGAATACATTAGTCAAATGAATTTTTAAAATGAAGAAAATAATCACATTAAAAACATCTCATAAACACCATAAAGAGAAGAAAACAGAATACTTCGGCCATATAATTAGAGGACCTAAATACCATCTACTTCGCCTTATAATACAAGGAAAAGTGGAAGGAAAAGAGATGGATTGGTCAAAAGAAACTTTCATGGCTGCGTAATATTAGACAATGGTCGTAGAGACCGACCGATTAATCGGCATCGGCTTCGGCCACCTTCGGCCAATATTTAAACCTTCGGCCAAAATTCGGCTTCGGCCAAAACAAAGCCGAAGGTTTTGCCGAAGGTGACTGTGACTATAGAAATGAAATAATCTCTGAACAATACGCTTCGGCGAGTCTTTGATAATTTGAATAATATTTACACACTATTTTCTACCCTCAACTAAAACGTTTTACAAACTTTCCTGTCAGGTAATAGTAGGTAGGATATAAATTTTAACAATAGGCCAAGATGTCTTAAAGATCTTCATTTGAATATTTCTCACGTAGTAAAATTATGATAATAATTTTATTGTATTTGTTAAAACTCACGATTACTGGTGTTTTGAATAGATACCTAAATGGCAAAACATCGACCATCGACTATGAATGCAAATATTAAATATTTTACAACAGTTTAAGTTTATTCTCTCGTGGGTGCAGCTTTGCTAATAGTACTTATTTACCCGTGAAATATATATATATATATATATATAATATATATATATATATATATATTATATATATATATATATATATATATATATAATATATATATATATATATATATATATATATATATTATAATTTATGTTGCAAAATCAGTTCAGGTTTTTGTTCTAGTGTTGTAAAAATAACTTTTGGTAAGTCTGTAATTTTAATTTTAATATAATTTTAGCAAATTCAAACGTTTTTAGATAATGTCAATAAAAAATCCAATTTGGGATTATTTTGAAAAAAGTGGCAACAAAGCTGCATGCAAACTATGTTCAAAGTCATTATCGCTTGGCAGTTTAATACCTAAAAAACAAACTATTACAAACATTAAAAATCATCTACAAAAAATCAATACAGAAGAATGGAAATCATTTTGTGACATTGAAATGGGAATAAAAGTTCGAAAATTGGAACATATGAAAACTCCACATGATGTTACACAACCAGTTTCCAGGACATTTCAGCCCAACCTACATCAAATAATGGAACTTAAGTCACCTGCTCTATGGCCTGATGATCATCCGATATCATCTAGGATTGATAAGGGTATCATGGACCTTATTATTGTCGACATGTTACCATACTCTATCGTTGAAGGAGAAGCTTTTCAGCGTTTAAATTTTGGAGATCCTAATGTTACTTCCAAATACAGAAAAAAAACGGAAAAGTTTTTTAGAACTAGTTTAATGCCAGCTACCTATGACAGAGTTTGGAAAAAAGTATCAAATTTAGTTTCTAAAGCCGAATGGATAAGCTTTACGTCAGATATTTGGAGCAATCCTGCTAAAACCTGTTCTCTTTTGAGTTTTACAGCTCACTTTGTTCATGGTTCAAAACGTCTTAAAGTTATATTAGGCGCTAGTGTGCTTAATGATGACCACACTAGTATGTTTATTGCAAGTAAACTTAATGAAATAATTAAAAATTTTAAAATAGAAAACAAAATTCATATAGCTGTAACTGATAACGCAGCAAATATGGTCGCGGCTATTCGTATTACACAATTTACATCTCTAAGATGTGTGGTTCACTCATTACAACTTGTAATTCATGATTCTTTATTAAAACAGGAATTAATTGAAAACACAATTAAAAAATGTCGTAAAATTGTGGGACATTTTAAAAGGAGTGAACAAGCGTGCAGGTACCTGAGGCAGTTTCAACAAACTTGCAATTTGCCACAGCATATGTTAATTCAGGATGTGGAAACAAGATGGAATAGCACTTACCTAATGTTGGAGCGGCTATTCGAACAGAAAGTTGCAATAAATTTGTATATGGCTGAACGTGGTGGTATTGAAGTTCCCAGTTCAACAGAATGGGAATTGATCAACAATTTAATTTCAGTTTTAACTTGTTTTTACCAAGCGACGCTAGATCTTTCAGCCGATTCTGCTTGTGTATCATTGGTTATCCCACTAATAAAAATGCTAAATGGTAAAGTTTCTGCGAAAGAGCAGGACTCTGAGGAGATAAGTTTATTAAAGCTACGACTTCGTGAATCATTAATTAAAAGATTCGCTAATATTACAAATTTGCCAGAATTGTCAATTGCGACTCTTCTAGATCCTCGCTTTAAATCAAAATATTTGACAGACGAGGAAGTAATTACATGTAAAGCAAGAATTTTAAAATTTCTACGTGAATCTGATAGCTCTAAGTTTAGTTATACAAATAAAGTTCCTATGGCTATCGCTTCAACATCATCATCTACAACTACACATGTAGAAGATCTAGAAAACAATAGTCTTTGGAATTCACATGATACTTTTGTCACAGCCGTTCTAGATACAACAAAAGAAATTCATAACGACAACGATCCCAATGCAGATTACCTAGATTCGTATTTACGAGAGGCTTTGCTTTTAAGAAGTGCCGACATATTTCATTATTGGGAATCAAGTCCCTATATTTCTTTAAAAACTGCAGCCAAAAAATTTCTATCGGCACCACCAACGAGTGTACCTAGTGAGCAGTTATTCAGCTCTGCTGGGCAACTATACGCTGACAGAAGAACTAATTTGTTGGGAGAAAACGCTGACAAGCTTCTTTTTCTTACGTATAATATTAGGATGTTTGATTTCGAATATTAACTACCAGATCCAGTAATCATAAATACTCACTTGCTTTAATGTTTTTTAATGTTATTTATTTTTATTATCGCTTCTATTACCAAATAATGTATAAATATTTGACTTTTTTATCTCATAATTTTATATTTTTGTTTATCACTTATCAGTTAATAAAAATATAATGCACATTATTTAAATTATTAACATATAATAGGTAATAGGTATATTTTTAGTCACCTTCGGCTTCGGCCGAAGGTATCCTTCAGGCCGAACTTCGGCATCGGCTTCGGCCAAAAAAATCACATTCGGTCGGTCTCTACAATGGTGTGTTTCCACAGTAGAAGAATTATTTCTCGTAGCAGCCGACAGAAAGGTTTCAGGAAATTGTAAACATGATGACGGCTAACCTGCTTTAATACGGTCCCAGACAAACTTTATAGTTTTCTCTATAAAGATCTGGTAGTTAAGTCAAATAAAGAATAAAACAATTGGTAATACCAATAATTCTTTTAATATATCATAAATAAGTACACAGTACCTAGTATTTATATCTAACAATAATTTTTAACAATATATACATATGCACTTTAATATTAAACAATAAGTAGTAATAATTATTACAATGATTTTTATGTATGAAATTCGGTTTTAAATACCTTTTTAACTTTGCAACTGTTAACTATCAGGTAACGTCAACATTATAGATTTTATATCAAGACCCGCGAGACACCTCTTATGTATTGTGATACTTGCAGGGCACATAGATACATTTAATTTTCAAGCAACGGATGTACAGCCTGAAAAGTACAAACATCAACAAGCTGTTGCACCAACAGTTGGGTTTATCTCCGATTTCTTTCTCCGGCTTATTTTCAGAGATCTAGGAGATATACACAACCTATACCAAATTATAATCGTAGGGATAAAACAACAACACTATGGTAATTATGGAAAACTATTAACTTCCTTTTAGAACAAAGTACCAAAAGTCTCTAATAAGTATACTAATAGAAGAGAGTAACTAGTGCAGAAATAATTAGGGAGCTAGAGGGAATGTAAAGGTAGTGGGGGCAAAAATATTGTTAGACAGGAAGTGCGATCTTTAGAGGCCACATTAAACAGGGAAAGAGAGTCTCTCTCCTTGTTTGACATCAAATTTAGTTGGGTTATGTTATTGTTTGTCTCAAATGTCACATGAAATCTTATTTATATTGAAGTTTTTTAACAATTATGTCGCATTTTAGACTATTATCGTTAATAATTAATTAAAACTTTCTCATCTAAGACACATTCTGAAAAATATTATATAGCTACTGTTAATAAGTGTCAGAAAATTGAAATTTGGCTCATTCGCATTTCTGGATATGTACGCCATCAGAGGTCAATTTTTTGGTCTCCTTTTCATAAGGATTAGATTCCCTCTTTTGTCTTTTTGCTCGATGCTCCACATATAGATACAGGCAAAGTCGACGATGATCACGATTACCAACTTCCAATATTGGAATAGGCATTGATAAACTTTACATGGTATTAATATCTAGAAAAACAGCTGAACAGTCGCCATGACAACATAATCGAAACAGTTCAGGAACACGAGTATTGCAGTTGGTATTTTTGTCTTCCTGATAAGTTATTTCTTAATGGCCCTGATTTAATTTAATTCATAAAACACTAAAATCACAGACATTAACAGTTTTCATAATTACCAATACATTTAAATATTATAAATAGAAAACTTTGTCCACAAACGGATTGTAGCTGATATATGATGTGTGTTTATTGATTATAAAAAAATATTACACACTGATTAACACCAATTATTTTAATTTTCTTCATTGGCTTTGTAAACAAAATTCCCTAATTAATTT